AGAATTGGTGAGAAAATTCTCCCTGCAAGTCACTCAAAATTTTGCTGTACTTTTCTCTCTGCTCTGGTGACACTTTCAGGTATTTCAGTATTGGAAAATGAGCAAACACTTTGAAAACAAGACTAACTTGACTTCGAAAGTTGTCACACTAGAATGCAATTAGTGTACAAACACATTCTTTCCTTGCAGCTTCACATTAAGTTCATTTAAATGTGCCAACATATCCGCACCAAAAGCGAGGTCACACGCACAGTTTGAATTCTTTAATTCAGGGAAATCATTTTCTTTCTCCTGCATCTCCAGAAAAGTGCAAATTTCATCTCTGAACTCCCACACTCATTGCAATACCTTTCCTAAGCTGAGTCAGCAGATATTTGTATGATTAAGTCCTGGTGTTCAGCAACAGTGTCTTCAAGAAGAGAAATGAATGGCCAATGATTAAGTCCCCTCTCTCTTATGTAGTTCACTATTTTCACTACAGTGCGAACAACAGGATCGATGTCCAGGACATTTTTGCAGAGGGCCTCCTGATGTATGATACAATGCAGAAAAATCACCTCTTTATCAACATCGTCTTTTTACTTTGTCCTGAATTCTTTTTAAAAGTCCTACGTTTTTCCCAGTTAAATTTGGAGATCCATCTTTGGTTACGTTTGCCAGTTTACTCCAGGGGAGCTTCAGCTGTTCAAGGCAGCCAGACACTGTGTCGTATAAATCCAATCCCTTAGTTGTGCATTTGATTGATTCCATTGATAAAAATTCCTCTGTGGTTTCAAATTTGTCCTCAATTCCTCTGACAAAAATCAATAACTGTGCTGTGACCTTAATGTTAATGCTGTCATCGAGAGCTACTGAAAACAACATAAAGCCCTGTGCTTTCTTGTTCAACGCAGAAGCTAAATGTTCATGAATCACTTCTACTCGATGAGTAACTGTTCTTCATGACAAACTAATGTTCTCAATTTTGTTTTGGTATTCCGGGCACAGCATGCCAGCAACATCAACCATGCATTCTTTCAAAAACTCCCCTTCAGCAAAAGGCTTATTTTGTTTAGCGATTTTAAATGCTAGAACATAACTTGCTTTTGTAGTGGCTTCCGGAACTGTAGATTGTCGTACATAAATATTTTGCTGAGCTTTTAAGTTTATGGTGAATTTCTCAGCATTTCTTGCCCTTTCCTCAGTTGTTAAATTGCTGCCATAATTAGGATGTTGCGTTGAAAAACGGCGATTAAAATTTTACTCTTCAAACACTGTGATGCTCTCTTGATAAATGCTGCACCAGGGGCGTAGCCACGGGTGGGCTGTGGCCCACCCACTTATCATCCAGGCCCACTCCATCACTTGCCCCACTCTGTTATGCTATACAAAGCACACGGGATCTTTTATAAGAGAGAAGGCAAATAAGCCATATTTATTGAAAATACAGCAGTTAGCATATGCTTTTCAGTCACACAACATACACACAAGTCCTGCAGGTGGTCTTTATAGTTACCAATCTGTTGTAGCTGAAGTTAATCTAATGGCCAGTTAGATTGAGCACGAGTGAGGAGCTAGGCTCTGTCGGTCACGATCCGATGCTGTGAGGCTTTGCAGTGCTGAACCCAGAGTTCCATGGCAAAACACCCCAGCTTTATAGTTGTAAATTCCCATTTGAGTCCATGCATTTTGCAGTGTCATCCTGTAATCATTAGTCCTTAAGTAGTGTTAATCTTGGGGTTTTCTGCTGTTATCATTTGATGGTTATTGTTGGGCTTTCCATCGTTATATCCTATTTGTTGTCCCGCCTTCAGGGGTGCCTGCTTCTCCTCTGAGGTCATCAATGCTGCTAACATGTTTAACCTTGGATACAAAGGATATTTTCTGATTGTCTCCTGGTGTTTCCAAGTCTCTCACTTTTTCTTGACCATCTGAACATTTGTGATGGCTTTCACACCTTATCTTTTCCTGATGCATGAATTCCTCATTCACACAAACAGTCTCTCACAGAAACCTTCAAAGGTATACAGAATACATTGTAAATTAAGTCTTGCTAAATCTTATAACTAAAACAATTCACATCGGGGCTTTAGGCCCTCAACATTTCTCTAATCTATTTATCATAGACACAATACAAAATCCGGTCTTTTACTAACTAAACTTTATAACAGGTCCTAATTGTAATACATATGGGAAACAGGATCCCAGGCTCAGACAGTCATTCCTTTCTGCTATTCAAAAAGGGTGGCTGGCAGAATGAAATCAAAGTTTACATCAATTCTTATAGTAGAATTATAAAATCCTGCTCCTACAACTCGACTGGTCCTCCTTCACCTGGACCCCCCTGCCCTGAGCCCCCGCCGCACCCCTCCTTCACCTGGACCCCCTGCCCTGAGCCCCCGCCGCACCCCTCCTTCACCTAGACCCCCTGCCCTGAGCCCCCGCCGCACCCCTCCTTCACCTGGACCCCCTGCCCTGAGCCCCCACCACACCCCTCCTGCACCCCACACCCCTCCTGCACCTTGACCCGCTGCACCCGGCACCCAGACCCCCCTGCCTTGAGCCCCCTGCTGCACCCCTCCTGCACCTCAACCCCCTACCCTGAGCCCCCTGCTGAACCCCACCGCACCCCTCCTGAGCCCCCTGCTGCATCCCGCACTCCTGCACCCCAAACCCCTGCCCTGAGCACCCTGCACCCCTCCTGTACCCCTTGGGGGCAGGGAGGAGGCGAAGATGAGTTGGGGATTTTGGGGAAGGGGTTGGAATGAGGGCAGGGAAGGGGTGGGAAGAGGTGGGGCAGGGGTAGGGCCTCATGGAAGGGGGGGAGTGGGGGTGGGGCCGGGGCAGCGGGGGTGGGGGTCAGTGATGCGGCCCTCGGGTCAATCTACTAGTCCTCATGTGGCCCTTGTGGCTAGAGTATTAACAGGATAGTTTCTGAGTTTTTGTAGATTTAGAAAAGACATATAGTTAAGTGGCCGGAAGGATGCTCATACCAGTGCTGAGGAAATATGTTGTGTCTGAGAATTTAAAACAGTGATCCGAACATTTTCTGAAATGACAAGTCCCTTTGAGGTAAAAGCTGGACTGTACTGGGGGGCTGTTGTTTCCTGCTCCTGAACTGAAGAGAGGACACTTTTTGTTGAATGTGATATTCAGAAGCAATCCTAAATCTGTACAATCTAGCAGAACTTCTTGTGAATAAGGCTTCAGCAGTCAGTGTCTAAGTATGTATAAACAAAAATACCCTGTCTTCTAAGTTGTCTCACTACTGCAGGACGGCACTTCGTAAAAACACTTGGCTCTGTAGAAAGGCCAAATGGCAAGACCTTGTACTGATAATATCTTCGTGCTGCCACTATATGGAGATGCTTCTGATGATTTGGCCAGATAAAAATATGGAAATATGCATCTTTTAAACTAAGGGTTAGGAACCAGTCCATAATTGAAAGCGAGGGAATTGTGGAGGCTAGGCTTACAATGCTGTCCTTTGATTCCTTGGTGAGTGTTCTTTATTTATCTATTATTAGTTTATTGTTGTTATCACATTGGGGAGAAGGGTGAGCAAGTTACACACCTTGATGACAAACCCTCCATTTACTATTTTTCAAAAAGACATGGTGGTCTTAGACCTGATCCCACGTTTTTACCAATAATATTATCAGAGTTTCACAACATACAATTAATTTGCCACTGCTTTTTCCAAAAGCCATGTTTTAATAAAGGGCAATCTGCTTTATGTACTTCAGATGCTAGAAGGGTATTAGCATGTTGTTTAAATAGAACTAAAGATTTTAGGAGGTCTTCTGGTTATTTATTTGTTCTACTAAGAATCATATGGGTTATAATTTATATGCTAAAATACAGATTTCCAGTTGGGTAAAACAGTGTTTCCTTGAATGCCACAAGTTAGCAGTAGTCACTGTGCCTAAAGTTGTGACATCTCATTCAACAAAGGCCGTGGCAGGATCTTTTGCTTGTCTTAAACATGTTCCTGTTGGGGAAATCTGTAAGGCTGCTACTTGGAAGTCACTTTATGTTTACTAAACATTATGCTTTGGATTTGGCTTCAAGAGTGGATGCTAGATTTGGTGGAGTAGCGCTTCAATTGTTTTTAATAATCATAGAAGATTAGGGTTGGAAGAGACCTCAGGAGGTCATCTAGTCCAACCCCCTGCTCAAGTCTGTTCCCTCCTCCTGAGTTTTTCAGCACTCCTTACGAAACTGTTCCTAAGTGGGAATATGTAGAGTCACTCAAAGAAGAAATGAAGGTTACTTCTAACCAGAGTTGTTCTTCGAGTGCTTGCTCATATCCATTCCAAGTCCGGCGTGCCCACACATCTTACTTGGAATGGACATGAGCAACACATCTCGAAGAACAACAGTTACAAAAGGTAGGTAACCGTTATTTCTTTCAGATGACTCTGCACATTCACACTTCCTGCTCACCCTCCCTTCTTCCACGTTCCTATTTTGCTTTCTCCTGGTCAGCAGTTGGAAGAAACTGAGGTGGTAGGGTGCACAATGCCTCCTTATATAGCCTTGCCATCAGAACATTTAAAGACACTGAGGGAAGGAGTAGAGGATACACATGCACTCACTCCAACAGGTACTGGTTGGAGAATGTTCCACCATTACGCTTCACTCGTTGGCGCGTTACCCATATTGTGAATATACAGAGTCATCTTGAACTCTGGTTGCAAGTACCCATCCTTCGTTTATTTACATATATAAACTAGAGTTTAAGTAAATTATCTTATGTTCACAATGGATTGGAGATTGGCTAAAGGTCTGTAATAGAGGTAGGGGAAGCACAGCCTTAATTGAAGAAGCTGCCTCTTGTGCCATTTTACTTGTAAGTCTTCGGCAACATGGAACATAGCTCATTAGAATCTAGAAGGTGTAATCTTAAAAAGTATATCTTCTTTCAGTGGATGAAATTTACTTCATGTTTATCATTTAAAAAATAAATTGTATCAAAAAGCTATCTGTTGTATAAAATGTTCTTACTTTGTGCTTCCCAGTTAATGGTGAGTCATCGTCAACTGCACCGGAAGCTGATAATTCTGCCTCTGAGGCTTTTATGGGTTCTGTAGAAACCCCCATGTCTACAGATTGCACTAACACAATTACAGAACCTCTATCAACAACGGAAACAGTTAGTTATTCTGAAAACAGCACGTCTTCTACAGTCCCCATTGTGTCTGCTGGACTTGAAGCTGTAACTACCACAGACCCTGCATCCTCTAATACCAGAAGCAGCACCACTGCAGAAGCAGCAAAACCAAGGGAATCTTCAAGTGCATCTGGGGAACCTGTGAGACAGCAGCCTGGTAGTACCAGTACAGAACCTTTGCCACCAGGGTATGTGGGCTTGGTTTTAATTAATAATATGTTCTAATCCTGTCTGGCCTGAACACATTTATATATAGACACAGAGATTTTATTATGGCTCTGGATTGCTAAATACAGTCCAGTTGGCTGAGACATAGTTATTTGATCTAAAATAGTTTTGCAGTATTGCAGTCCGAACTGGGTGGAAGCTTTTGGTGCCAGAAACTAATAACAGGCTGCTTGTTTGCTGAGACAGTGATATGACCTTATAGAAGAGCCTCAAGACATTCTGGGCAAAAAGAATCTTCATTTGAGATATTTAAACTTATTCCATACTTGGGGCATAGTTCCTTGCTCATCTACTTTTGAAGCTTGTTACATATGTAGGGATCAAAAATAGTGTTTGTGTGGGGGAGAAGAATGCAGTAAAAATGTATTGAAAATACTTTGACACGAACAGGGGTATCTGGAGTTGTGTCCCAAAAATGTTCTGAATACAAATGAAATTGTAAAGGGGGTGCATGTGTGTGTAAAAAGGATAGACATTATAAAATTCCAAGGTAGTCATGGTGCTTGCAACTACTGCATTAACACTGAAGCTGTCCTATTAGCTGTCACATGACTTTGCAAACTAGAATTGAGAGGTGCTTACTGAAGTTAACAGAAACTGAAGCACATTTTAAGGGTATACTAAAACATAGGTTGACTGGAATTTTTAACTTTTTTGGAAATATGTTGTCTCCTTGAGTGGAAAACATTACTTCAGTGGCAATGTTTATTTACTGTTGCCTGATCTATTGATCACTGCTTCAGTGGAACTTAGACTTGTACTTACAAGGGCACTCTGTCCCTTGCGCTTAGCCAGTTTCATTGCTACCTTATCCCCTGCTTCCTGTGTTTGGTGCTTTAGTAAGCTACAGAGGGACTACTTGCTCCTCTTTGCACAATGCTTCCACTGGGACGGGGGTGCTTCCATTGAAAGCCCCATCTCCAGCTAACGCTTTTTCACTTTTACATGAAACAGGTGGCACATCAAATCCCAGGGGTTTGGGTGCTCAAAGACATCCTTCCTGTACTCCTGAATTGAACCTCTGCCACGCTTCTTAATATATGTTAACATAAAACTTCTAATGCTGTGGCTAAAAAAACATGGCCACAGCTTGGTCCTCTAGACTCTTTTTTTAATGTGGAGAAATGAGTTAGTTTAAGTTTGAGTTTCAATTTTCAGAATATCAATGGGCTAGATTCATGAAATGCCAGTGGGTATGAGGGGGATCTCCCTTTTATAACCTTTAGCCCAGTAGTTAGAGTACTCTCATGGAATGCTAGAGAGAGGATTTGAACGTGAGTCTCTCACATTACAGGATAGTGTCCTAGCTACTGGGACCTTAGAGGCATCCGATGAAGTGGGCTGTAGCCCATGAAAGCTTATGCTCTAATAAATTTGTTAGTCTCTAAGGTGCCACAAGTACTCCTGTTCTTTTTGCGGATACAGACTAACACGACTGCAACTCTGAAACCTAGCTACTGGGCTGAGTGATGGGATGGGATGCTCTGTTGTGGTCTTTTTCAGTCTGTCCTGTTGGAGTTGTTCCACATTTTATAAATAAATAGTCATTGGAGCATGGACTTGAACTTGCATTTCCCACACCTTAGGTGAGAACCCTAACCACGAGGCTACAGAGTCATTCTCATGCTCTTTCTCTAGCAGTATGACTACTGCCACAGTTTTGGGGATCACCCTGTTTAGGGGGATCAAACTCCACTGAAACTTTGCACACTAGCGGTAGGAGAAAGAAGGGTTGTGTGAGCTGGTGGAACGGTAGGGATGTGTCCAGGGGATCAATGCACTGGTCATATCCACTGGCCCCAAAACACTCTGTGTGTGTGGGGTGGGGAGAAAGAGGATAACTGCAGCCACTGCTCTACAAAGGCATTAGTATTGGTTTTGAAGTGGCCTAAATGCTAGCTACTGCTGGTTGGAGGTGAGAATTCCATAAATAGATTTTAAGGCCAGAAGAGACCATGAGATTATCTAATCTGATCCCTTTATACTACAGGCCCTTAAATTCCACCCAGTTACCCCTGTATTGAGTCTAATAATTTGTGTGTTGACTAAAGCATGCCTTCCAAAAAAGTATCTAGTGTTGATCTGAAGACTTCAAGAGTTGACGAATCCAACGCTTGGATTGTTAGTTAGTTGCAATGGTTAATCAACCTTCACTGTTAAAATTTGTGCCTTATTTATCTGACTTTAGCTTCCAGTCATTGGTGGTTCTTACATCTTTCTCAGCTAAAGAGCCTTTTGGTACCTGGTATTTTCTCCCTGTGAATGTACTTATATACTGTAATCAAGTCGCCTCTCAGTTTCTTTTTTGATAATCTAAACAGATTTTACTCTTTAGGTCTCTCACTGTAAGGCATTTTATCCAGCCCTCAAATCACTTTTATGGCTCTTTATAGCACCCTCTCCATTTTTTTCAATATAATTTTTAAAATGCTCACCAGTACTGAATGCAGTGTTCTAGTATCGGTCTCACCAATGCCATTTACAGAAGTAAAATAGTCTCTCTACTCCTACTTGTGCTAAGCCCCTGTTTTTACAACCAGGGATCACATTAGTCTTTTTTGCCACAACATCATGATGTTTGTCCACTATGACCCCTTAATCCTTTTCAGAGTCACTGCTTTCTAGGATGCAGCCTCACATTTTGTAAGTATGGCCAGTATTCTTTAGAATATTGGTGTAAAGAGCTTCTACATCCATGGTGGCCAGGATGGTGTTTTCAAGATCATCAGTGCATTTTAGTTTCCTCAGGAAGTCGGTGGTGTCTCGAAGATAGCTAGGATTTCTGGTAGTGTAGGGTCTGAGGAAAGAGTCTGAATAGCCAGATAATCCTGCTGTAAGAGTGACAATGCCTGAGATGATGGGGCGTCCAGGATTTCCAGGTTTATGGATCTTGGGTAGCAGGTACAGCAAACAGGAGAAGATCAAGAATGAGCTCTCAAAACTGGAGACTCTCTCATACAAAACCAACCTTCCACACAATCCATGTGTCCACAATCCATGTGACTCTACAAAAACCTACAAGATCAATAAAATGTCAGGACAATCAGAAGCAAGTACTTCCCAAAGTACCCAGCCAGGTCCAGGACAATAATTAGCAAAACTGTATGACTTTCATGTGTGAAAGTCTGAGCAATTTAAAATGACATTCTACTTTTGTGTGTGTGTGTGCACGCATGCGCTGTTTGGTGTTCTGTAATGTAATTTAAATTAAAATCCAGGATTATAACTGGAATGCTACCATGTGTTTAAGAAACGCTGAATAGTTATTGTGACTTTTTTCTGTATTGTAGTTTAAATAAATTATCAAAACAATTGTAAGTGGTGCGATTATATTGTATTATTTTGACAAATAAAATATGCAGCAATTTGCATAATTTTTAACTTTTTGGTGCAGAATCCACCTAGGAGTAGAGGGTAAAAAGAATTAACGTAAGATAGGACATAATGTGGCACACAAGCCTTTTCTGAGTGGGCAAATTTGACCCTTAGCCTTTAGAGTAAGGACTAGGATTGGATAACCCATTTGTTCACTACCAGACTTTTTTTTTTTTTGCTTGTCTGAAAATTTAATCAGAAGGCAACGTTTTCGTGTTGTTTAAAGACATGTCTTTTGTTTAAGATGGGAACAGAGAAAGGATCCTCATGGTAGAACCTATTATGTTGATCACAACACACGAACTACGACATGGGAAAGACCACAGCCTTTACCGCCAGGGTAATGAAAGTTTATATACTACTATGAATGTTTTACTTACGTTAGTACCAAAAAGTATTTTTATTACATTTTGTTATTACATGAAAAAAGTATAATTATACAAGTAGTATTTTTTGAAATCAGAAGTTCATAAAAGCAATACCACACATATATTGCAACACCCCTCTTTCCCCAAAACAAAATAAAACAGCATAAATCTTTACCAGATAATGATCAGGATCATCATAGCTACTTTTATGTGAATATTAGTGTTACATCTATTGCCTGTGCTTATCTTTTGCTGCTAATAATGTTGAATTATTTATCCTTTTATTTAATGTTTAAATTTAAAGGGTACTTATTTTATGACCTTTTTGGTCTAGCTGTGCAGAAGAATAGTTGAGACTGTTTCCTTTGGAAGGCTAATAGTTGTTTCTAGAAATTTACATAAAGTCTCAGAAACAGAACACCAATGTGTTATATACAGCAGAAATTAAAATTTCTGCCTATCTCTCATCTCTATGTTGGAACTGAAACGTTAGCTAAGAATTTAGTGTACCACAGAAAATTAGTTTTGTACTTTTTACTGAAAATTATATAGCTCTTAACATTAGTATTTTTGTTTGTTAGCTGGGAAAGAAGGGTTGATGATCGTGGAAGAGTTTACTATGTGGATCATAACACGAGAACAACAACATGGCAGCGACCAACCATGGAATCGGTCAGGAACTTTGAGCAGTGGCAGTCTCAACGTAACCAACTACAGGGAGCTATGCAACAATTTAACCAACGATACCTCTATTCGGTAACTTTTAGCAAGCTATGAAATGTTAAGAAATATTTTTTCAGATATTTTTAACTTTACTGTTCCCCAGTGGCTTCAAAATTACACAGCTGTATATATTGTGAGATGTTCATCTAGAAAGATGGTTAGCATCACTAACTTGAATAATGGATTCTATTTTAGAACCTTTACTTCTAAAGCTACTACCGGTGCAGGATTCTCACTGCTGGGTCTCCACTCTCCAGCTCAAGACCAGTCTACTTCCCAAGTACTTAAGGTTTTCGTTCCCTAAGGGCAATAGTAACTGGTACAAGTGTACACCTTCTGACCTTAGGGGAAACTTCAGTTCTGCAGCTCAGCCTCTTCTTTGAGCATTGAGTTCTTTGGCATGCTTGTCTTAGGGTTTGGTACTTAGGTGCTCTTGATTTTCTTTTAATCACTCAGCTTTTCGTCAACATTTTGGTAGTTCGGCTTTCTTACTTTGGGGCCTGTTTTGAAGTATCTGCTTTTGTTCAACTGTGAAACTTCTTGCATGGTTTCTGTGTTTTCTCTCAGGTTGTCATTCATTCCTTCAATTTTATAGCTGATCAGCTTCAAGAAACGCCAGTTCTGAGATGGGGAAAGACATTAATGAACAGATTCACTGTATCCTCTAATTGGGAGTCAAGAATAGTATGCAGGAGTGTTAAACTGTCTACGTAGACCACCTAAGCAGTCAAATATTACAGGGATCATGTCCAGACTCTTACTGAGGGACCCCTCTTGGAGACCCTCATAAGGTTGGTATGAGACCAGAGGTCGGGTGTGTGTGTGTGTGGTGGTGGGGACACAGGGTCATGTACCTCCCCAAATTTCTGCCTTCCATTTACCACAGAGGTTTTCAAATTGTGGGGTGCATGGCTGGGTGTTCCCTAGGCAGGGTGGGCGACACAGGTCCGAGCCGCGCCCCTGACATGCTCGTGCCTCGTCCCCAAAGGAGCCCGGCGCTGGCTGGCAACACCTCCTAGAGTAGGTCCCTGCCCGTGGGGCCCGGCTGCCATGAGATGCTCCCCGAGGCACTCGCTCACTGCTGCCTTGGTGCTCAAGACTCTGCTGCTGCTCTTCAGCTCAGAGGCAACACGTGAGATGATCACATTGCCCCCACCACCACCATTTAAATATTGTCCCCACACCATCAAGAGTTACACATTGTCTCTGTATGAGGATGCACTGGATGCTTCAAAGGAGAAATCATTGAAGTGTAAGTCTGAGCCGATTTCAGCCTCTGAGCACTGGGATTCAGGGTTGACACTTCCTGCATTAGTACAGCTTTGCTCTGAACTCACTGGGTTAGCTTTCATCACCAAAGCATCCTGTGACATCCTGTCTGAAACAGAGGATTCAACTATGCACTTAAAGTTGACTGTACTCAGCCCCAGTTTGCCTGATGAGGCACCACATAAGAAGAGTCAGGAATAGGCATAGAAAGATGCATCTCTGGTGACGCCCTTGACTCCTGGCTGCTCTGCATCAAAGCCTCTGTTTTTTTGCTCTGTTTAGCTTTCAGGATTAGGAGACAGAACCAGTGTGACTCTCTGCAATGTGTATTCAGGGACCTTGCCAAGTTGCCCCAGGTTATCTCCAAGACTGTCTTGAGGGATGCAGTATCATCTTTGACACTTATCAGACTTCTCAACACAGTTGGAGTGCATTTTGCTCTGTTGATGTACAAAGCATTGGCCCTGGTGCTGGTATTCCTGGTATCTTGTGCCTAAGTTCTTAGTGCAACCAGGGCTGACACCTTCTGAGACACTGTCTTGAAGCTTCTGGCACTCTAATCAATTGTCACCTGAATGGATGCAAGGTGATGATCAGGGAGATGGCTGTTGTTTGGACTGGGATGAAACTTCTGATGCCTAATATATTTCTGTTTCCCCCTAATTTCTTTAAAAGCTGACTAAATTGGCAGATTTTGAAATAGTGTCACTCCAGCAATCTACACAGTTCACAATTACTCTCAGAAGGTTTCTGCACCATTGCACCCTATTTCAGACCATTTCGTGAAGATATATCAGGACACCTCATCTGTCCTGTCTCTGAGATTTTTCAGGAAAAGTTTCGTTCTTTTCAAGGTCATCCACTATTTTCCCATGTGAACTGTGGGGTTCAAAAGGGAGCTAGAAAGATTTATGGATGATAGGTCCATCAATGGCTATTAGCCAGGATGGGCAGGAATGGTGTCCCTAGGCTCTGTTTGCCAGAAGCTGGGATTGGGTGACAGGGCATGGATCACTTGATGATAACCTGTCGGATCATTCCCTTTGGGGCATCTGCCATTGGCCACTGTCAGAGGACAGGATACTGGGCTTGATGGACCTTTGGTCTGACCCAGTATGGCCGCTCTTATGTTGTTATGAGCTTGGTGGTCATGCTAGCTTTGGATGTGGCCAGAGGGAAGACTAAGGAAACATACAGTATTGTGCCCCAGAACTTGAACTCTGATGCTAGAATTCATTTGTACTAAGAGGTTACCAGTCAATGGCTGGAGCCATTAATGTGGTGACCTGCCCGGTCAAAGAGCAGGTATAGCCTTAGGGAAAATAGGCCTTTGGTCTCGTCAGATTCCTTCCTCATGACAAGTATCATGAACTTAAATGAGTAGAGGAAAGGTGTGTGGGCCTGTCCCAGCATTAGGTGTACGTGGCCTTTGATGCAGGAGAGAGAGTGGTAAGAGCAGAGCTTGTCTGCAGGCCTCTAGCTTCTGACAGAATGTTAAAAAGAAGAACTTGAGCACGTACTCTACAGAAGAATAACCTTTTTCAGGAAGAGATGGAGGCCTCTTGAGAGAAAGTGAAAGATTTGACAGTCATCCTGTGTTCTTTGTACCTCAGTCCCATCCTCTGGGCCCTACCTGTGGTGTAGGGAAAGGAACGTTGTACTTAAACCTTGCTTTCACATTGAAGGTTGGTCCCAAGGGCGCTCTGGCTTAGTAGCATAAGTCCCTTTGTGAGAACCAAATGTCCAGTTTTCCTTTAAGGAACCTGTAGTTCCTGCTAACTCAGATATTGACTGGAATATTCTAAGGCCATTGGTTAACATGGGTATTCCCATAGAGGATCAAACTTGTTTTTATGTGGTGAGACAGGTGTTAAGGACTTTTCCCTTCACTGCTTCCCATCGTTCTTGTCACCCGGACAGAAAGCAGAGTACCAGAAGTCCAAAGTGCAGGCAATGTAATGTTTATTGGGGTTAGTTTCAGGCAAGTATATCCATAGCTCTGACACCACAGAGCCTTTTCCCAGTGTTCCGTTCCCCACTCCTCGTTCTTAGCAGGCATAATTATGCTGTAGTGCACGCCCTTGATCCCACCCCTTACAATTTATGGTCATGTTCCATTTTGGAGGGTCATGAGGCTGAGGGCTTTGTACTGCCTCTTTTGTATCCCATGGGCGGGTAAGGAGTGATGTTGTGTTTGGGTGAGAGACGGGCATTTCTTTGGCTTGTACTGTTTCTTATACCTTCCCCACATTGTCCCTCCCTAGTGGTTGCTTGACCTTGGCTAGAGAGGAGCCAGGCAGCCTTCCAGTGTATGCTCATATATTACGCTCCCACCATACACAGTAATACTTTAGCTCTATCCCTATCTTTTCTCATTATACTGACAAACCCGTCTGGTTGGGCAGAAGCAACACACAGTGTCTTTGTTCACATATATTAGTAAGGATATAAGAGAATCAAAAATCAAACCCAAAATTCTATCCCAGGCAAGTAAGCTCAAACTCCTGTGATGAAATGATCTCTTTTCCTGGCCTCAGATTCAGGTCAGGTGGCTTTCCCCTCCCAACCCACTGCCATATATCAGTCTCTGATTGAGAACGATGCTCGGTCTGCCTTGGCATTGCAGTCACCCAAACCTTCAGGGAAGAAGTTGGAAGGTTCTGGGAAAGCTCTCTAAGAAGAGTTCTAGTTCTCATAAATAACCTACATCTAAAAGATCTCAATCTCTGGAAAGATTAACAGTGTTCCAGCCCTCAGGTTCCAGTCTGGGTAGTGTTAAGACTCCATGCTCCTAAGACTCTGAGCTCCTCTACGGGCCATGACCTGAAGCATGCTTCAGTACTATCAAAGCATGATCAGAGCAGCTGGGAGAAACAGCCTACTTCTAGCAGATAGGTGTCAATGGACCTCCCACCACCTTTTTCGGTACCCAACATTATGGTTCCTTCAGTACTGCAAAAATCCAACCATACACCTCAGCCAACGATCACTTTGAAGCAGTCAGCATCATTGGTACCATCAAATTCCACTGCAAGGGACCTACCTAAGTAGAGCCTTACCTGCAGTACCATTAGTTCATCAGATACCATAGGAATTTAGATATTCCAGAGACCTGTTTGTGTTGGATGAGCTGAAGTCTCCTCTCTTGATGGGTACTGAGCACCTCTTGGTACTGAGATCTATACGGTCACCAGAATTACACCTCTCCTTGGTACCTCCTGATTCTCCATCGTTTTCTGGTGGAGATGCCCCTTTTGATGTTGAAGAGGACCTTTCCTCAATCTCTCACATCTCAGTATAAAGCTCTCCCACCTGTCATTGTGGGAATCCTATTGTATTCCACTGTGGGTTTAAGCACACGTCCAAAGCCAGAGAATTTTAAAGTAGTGTCTGCTGGCCTGTGTGTGTACCCTGGCTCACCTTGTGCCTCCATCCAGGGATAAAGGGCAGGGTGGACTGACAATCTTTCTAGTTCCTTTTCACTGCCACACAATTTGGATCAGAACCTCCAGTGTCTGTAGCTTCAGCCTACAAAATAAGATTTAGATTTAGCTTTGTAAATAATTTTAATGGTTTGTGTACTCTGTCTGGGGAAACACCCATACCCTGTTCGAGTACTGAACTATGCCCAGGATTCTGGGCTTCAAACACTTTGTTTCCTGCCCGTGATCCTTGTCAGTTAGCAACGACCACCAGCTCTGCCTGTACTGCCTTGGGGAAGCCCACATCATGGCGAGGTGCAGTATCTGCCAATAGTTCCCCAG